CTTCCGCCTCAGGGAGGATGGAGCTGCGCAGACAGCAGCACGACGCCGATGGTGACGTCTTGCTTGTTTTCGGTTTGGGGAGTTTTGCTTGCTAGTTCGGCTTTTGATATTTCGATAAAATTTCAATTGCAATTTTTAACCAGCTGTAGTTTGTTTTTGGGATGCCTATCTTTCTGGATGTCTAACCCAGTAGATGGTAGATATAGAATGCTTCCAACCACACTGGGGTTTCTATAGACCATTGCTCCTAGTACCTCTCTGAAGAGGCCAGGTTCTGACCCGTAGTTCCCAGCAGGCATAGAACTCCAATCGAATTGACTGATGCTACGGTCTAATACATGCATATCGGCCGGGTAAGTTCCGGGAAGCCTCTGGGACTCGCCCAGATAATGGCGTTTCATTACATTCAACGCTGGTTTTTTTGGATGCTTTCCCGGTATGGTGGTGAAATTTCACTTGCTCTTTGTGCCTCTGTGAAAGGGCCAGGTTCTAGCTATGGTTCCTGATAGGCTAAACAGAACTGTAACTGATGGGATCTAGTAGATAGGAGCACTCTCAGCAAGATAACTTTAGAGAGCCACCAAGGTTCAACCAGAAAATCATTTATTACATCCAATTCCAGCTTTTCCATTGTTACTATTTGCCCTTATATGTGGAGGATTTTGTTCATTGAGCTTTTCCGGGAACCTCCAGTGCTTATCTTGGACTGTGAATTATATACTATAGCTCAAGTAAGCAAAGCCATTTCTATGCAGAACCCTTGACTGAGAGGTAATGCTGGCAAAAATTAAAGCTCCATAAACACATGTTCATAAGATGGAACTAGGAGCTTAATTGAAATAGGATCCCCACCTGCTGAACTGGCACGAGACGATCGGGAAGAATGCAAGGTGGCTTGGATAAGAGAACTTGCTGTAGGTTTGGTGTTGTCACATAGTAGAGGATGGGTTAGGTGATAAGGCAAGCAAACTGGTAATTGAAGTACATGGTTGGCACACATTTAGAAGGACATAGAACTAATATAAATTTGCTTTCTGGAAGTCAATCCAAGATGGTGAGTCTTCTACAGTGTTCACTAACACCAGTATGATACTGCAGGAACTGTTTGGAAGTTTCCTTCAGTGCATATGCCAAAATCTTGCCCTGCTCTGCATAGTTCTATTTTCCATACATTGAGGAGTCTTAACTTGGGAAGCAACTGTGTGTGATAGCTCAAGAAGGTAGTTTTATTTATATATATGTTGTGCGATGAAATTACTGATGTAATCAGGTATACTGATAAATTATAAGGTTGGAAGTAAATTTATCAGTAACTGACAGGTACTGATAAATTATAAGGTTGGAAGTAAATATTTGCATCTTTTCACATTAAAATCTATTTTCATATTTGTAAATCTTGATATGCCTTGTCTTTTGAATACAGGATTCCTCTGTAATTGGTTCCAAAAATCTCTGTAAATTGTAATTATCTTTCTGTAAATTGTTAATTATTTGTCTTGGCAGGTTAGCAGCATTTATTGTAATCTCGGCTGAAGCCCCTTGCTGCTGCATGTTTATTGATTTTGTTCAGCAGTACTCAACATGGGTAGAGGGTAGACCACACTGGCAGAAAGCTGTCTTCTATATTGTGTAAGTTGAAATGCTTAGGGTTATTATTGAAAGTCCTCAGAATTTGGTGGTGATTAAGATGTAGAATATCATGTCATCTCTTAACATTCTCCTGGATATAGTTTAATGCAATAGTCTAATTGTGAAACTGTATAGCCAGATAGACGAGTACAGTTTATTAAAAGGAAACTTTATATATCTCGTGTATTCATCACTTAAAATATTCAGAAAGAGATTTCATTGAATATAATATAGCCAAAATAATTTTAACTCCAACTCTAATGAATATTACAACATTTCAGCTTGGCTCTTCCAGCTATCATATTGTGCCCAGGACTAGCTACTGTGTTTGGCTCCGGCCTCATCTTCTTGTGTGGTGTCCTTTATGGAATGATGGCTCTTGGCAAAAAGTAAGTACAGTGTTACAGCATTGGCTGCTGCACAAATCTTACTAATATTTTACAACTGGGTGGGAATATAGATGGGCTGCACATGTGCCTATGATACATGTGATAACGATAGAAACTCATGACCCCAATTTACATTGTGTTTTGTTTTTCTGATAAAAATCATTCAATGTGCTGATTAATACACCTAAGAGTTACTGAATATTGGCGACTTCTTACATTTATTACAAATTTTGATTATCCACGATTGAATCTTGAGTTACCCATGTATATTAACCACATCATCTGTTGGTTTTCCCAGTGCTCCATTGTCTCTGTTTATTCCTGGCACTTCCCCCCCCTACCCCACCACTTTTTCTTCCTCCTAGTGTACTACACTGACATTACACCCATTCCTTTCTCTTCCTTCCAGTGTACTTCACTGACACCCACCCGTTCCCTTCCTCCCGGTGTACTACACCAACATTACACCCATCTCCTTCCCTTCCAGTTTACTTCATTTACATTTCACCTAATCCCCCCTTTCCTTCCTCCCAGTGTACTACACTGACACTGACCCCTTCCTTAAAACCACACAGTGTGCCTGTGTGGTTTTAAGGAAGGGGTCAGTGTCAGTGTAGTACACTGGGAGGAAGGAAAGGGGGGATTAGGTGAAATGTAAATGTAGTAAACTGGAAGGGAAGGAGATGGGTGTAATGTTTTTTACTACTGACAATCCAGACTCTCTTAATATGTCTCTTTCAAGTGGCAAAGAAATTTGCAGCATAATACATTCAACTTGATGTACAAGTAAAAATATTGCTTGTTTGGTGATATATTTTCTGTGGGGAGCACCGTTGGCTCCCTGAAGCTATCTGAACTGATATATGCTATATTAGTTTGGGGGTCATCAGTCACAGGAGTTCTTATGCCTACCGGGGACCACGAGCCAGAACCTTGTCTCCTCAGAGAGGTGCAGAGAGCAATGGCCTATGAGTACTTTACATTTAAAGTATGTCATTTGCCATTGACCAGGGAAGGACCCAGAAAGGTAGGCGAATCAAACCAGACCACTGTCTGGTTAACCTACGCAATTTACATACTAAAAGATCAAAAGAACCCCTTAAAAGAAACCCAACAAACAAAACTTCATGCAACTAGCACTTGCTCGTTAGTGCCACCTCCATCCCCTCCTATAGGGGGAATCAGCTCACTGGAGCTGGCAGCCCCCCACCCAAGTTCTTGAACTGATGTGCTGGCGGTCAGATCAATCACTTCTGGACTCACTTTCCTGTTTGGGATTTTTGCCCTGTTTGGCTGTTCCAGCTGTGTGTTGTTTGGTGGCCAGGTGTCTTTGTACAGGAGCAGCATTCACCTAGGATGACCTTCCCTAGGTGCTCTGTGAGTACTGCCCTTGCGTGTCAGGGTTATCTTCCCTGGGGCATTTGGGAATCGCTCCTTGTTTGAGGACCTTATCGCTTGATGTCCTCACCCTTGGGGTATATTGGGGTTCTAGGGCTTTCTGTCTTGCCCCGGGTAAGGGAGTGTTATTGGCTGTGTGGGGCGCACTTTGGCTGTCGCAGCTAGCTTTACTTCAATGCAACAGCCAATGTTTCTCTTTGACTGTCAGTTTGTTGTGTCGTCTTCAAGTGATTTTGTTTTCATTTTCTTTTCATTCTCTGGCATTCTCTCCTTGTTTCGACAGAGGTGGTCTCCTTTGCTTCTTATTAGACGAGCCTAGATTGTGTTGGTAGTCCTCCTCCATTTCCCCCCGAGGTTTCATAGCTGCTACTGGTGGTCATTTTGCCTGCTACCTGATAGGGTTCTACCGGCTTAGTTGACCCTAGTGCCGGAGTTTCCCGTAGGGCTAATTAACCCTTTGGATCATAGAATACCACTGTGTACTCGGTCGTACAATGGCTATTTCTTCCTAGCCTGCTTTTTGCCTTGTGCTAAGTAAAAGGTTGTTCGTTGCCCCTGCCTCATGGAAATGATCATCCATACTGCCTCCATCAAACTGCCTGTTGGGTCAGGGTCACCGCCTAACCTGGAATCTTGCGAGCCTTGTTCCCTGCTTGTACTTTAGTTTACTCATTCCTTGTCTGTTGATCTCGACGATCAGGCAGCAGCTGTATTGCATGCAGGAAGATTTTATTTACTGCAATGAGCCAGATTATCAAGCAGGTATCAAGCAGATTGTTTGGTTGGAGGTCCCGAAGCTGCTCCACTCGGGTTTCAGGGACCAGGATTTGGGGGCATTGGTCATGTCGATCTTGGTTCTTTCCATGCCGCTGCATCCTTCCCAGGCAGGCATGGTTCACTCTGCATTTTCCCTCCCCTGCTTCCAGCTCCCGAACATCTGAGGTTTCCGAGTCAGGGATGGGGTTTAGCTCGGGTGGCTTTGGGGGCTACCTCTTCTGATTAGGGCATAGAGGTGGTTGAGCCAGATTTTCCCACTGAGGCTTTTGGGTCAACCCAGCAGGCTCCTTTCTTGGAAGCTTTTCCCCTGGACACCACACTTTCTTCAAGGGTAGTGGGCATGGAAAAGGGCTCTGCCCCGGGGCCTGTGTTGAGGGTTCCTGTGGCTCGGAGGGAGTCCACTTGGAGCACTTTGGCCCCTGTGCCTTCTGAGCAGGGGTTGTTGCTGCAGGCTAGGGGGTTTTCATCCTCTTTTTTTCCTTTCTGCATTAATATTACCGTGTTTGCTAGAGTGATTTATGTACCCTCGCATCAGACGTCTCCATCTTTTGCTTAGATGTTTTGTACTGGGGGGGGGTGACGAAAAATTAATATAACAGCTTTTTTTGTGTGGTTCATCATACATTTATTGTACTTTATTTTCTGGTGCTTTTGGTACCCTGGCTCTTCCCTCCTCTCAGATCAGCGGTTTCGTTGTTAATAATTTTGGCGTGAATTTTGCTATACAGATTGTGAACCTTGGGTTTCACAATCTGTATATTTTGACAATCTGTTTCACAATCTGAACCTCCCTATGGAGGTTCTGGAGGCTCTTGGTGCATACCTCTTGTGAGACCTGGTTTACACCTCTGTGTTGGATCTGGCTTCGTTTTGAGTTCGGTTCCTCTTACACTGATTGGATGTGTTTTCAAGGTTCCGGTGTCTTCCTGGCTGGCAGCCTGCCTCAAAGACTGGTTGGTGTGTTGTCTGGTGCAGCCTGCCAGTCTGCTTGTCTGCTAGCCGGAATTCTGGTTCTTTCCCAGCTTATTAGATTTGGGTTCCTGGTAGCTTGGCAGAAGTCCCAGTTGGTACTGTTCTGGGTTTTGGGCTTGGCTGGGCCAAGTGTGGGGTTCTTAGACTGCATCCGTTTTTCTCCTTCCTGCGGCTTTGCTCCGGTTGCGGTCCTGCCTTCAGTTGTAGAGGGGGACCCGGATCACTTAGTGGTTGCTCTAATAGTTATGTGGGAACCTGCACTTTGCCCTGCTGCTTTATCCGTTGGGCAGTTTGGCTTTGGAATCTCTTTTGGTCTCTTAGGAGCGGCCTCTTTTTGCTGCTCTCGCGTTTGCTGGGTTCGTTTCCCTGGTGTCCTTGCATCAGTTGCTACGTCTCCGGCTTCCTCTTTGGGGTTTTGGGGGTTCGGTGCCATGGCGCCTTCATTTTCCTACATAGCTGTGTGGTAGGCGCTGCGACGGATCCTGCTTCCTCGGGGCTCGGCGATCCGGATCCATTCGGACTGGTCCTCCGTGGTTCATTGTCTCAACCAGGGGGAGTCTCTTCAGTCCGAGGCTTTGAGGCTGGTTGCTTCGGGTAGATCTTCTGCTGAGTTCCCAGGGTTTAGCTCATCTCATCGTTCACATTTAAGGTGTGTCCAACGTCCTGGCAGATGGTCTGTCATGCGTCATTCCTCAGTCTACAGAGTGGATGGTCAACGCCGCCTCCTTCCTTTGGGTTTGTTGGAAGTATGGGTGGCCATAGGTGGATCTCTTCGCGTTAGCATGGTCTCTGGGAATGCTGCCGACTCCCAAACGTCTGAGGGTTTTGGAGTCGAGGCGGGGTTTAGTTGGGGTTTACTAAAGGTGAGGTTTACTCGAGGCGGGGTTTAGATCCTCCTGCCGAGGCTTCTGGGTCTTCCCTGGAGATCCCCCCCCCTTCTTTGCTACCTTTCCCGTGGACTCTCTTTTTCCTCAAGGGTTGAGGACGACTGCCCCGAGGCCTCTGTCGGAGGTTCCCGGGGCTTTGGGGGGAGTCCGCAAGAAGGCTTGGCCTGTTTTCCCAGGCTTGGGCCTTTGCGCCTTCTGGGCTGGGGTTTTGTCCCCCCTTTTCCATCTGCTCTGGTTTTCCCACATTAGCTGCCATGATTTCAGCACCCTTGCGTCTGGCACACCTCCTTTAGGCTAGTGTGTGTTCCTGGGGTTTTCGTGCTTTGTTTTGGTGGCCATTTTGCTTTACTGAGGGCGCTTCGACACTCGGCCACCAGAGCAGCACTGCGTCTTGTTTGTCTACATGTGACTGCTAGAGGTCATGTCCGTCACGATTATGGGAGCAATTTTTCGCTTCCATCTTGTGATATTACTCCTCCCCATGCCTTTTTTCTGGTTTGGGTTGTATCTGCTCAGTTAGGGGCTTAGAGGTAGGGGGGTTTGCTTTGAGTTTCTGCTTCCCTGCTGAGGTGGTGTTGGTTGTTTTGGTGAGGTTATGCTGTGCTTGCGGGGATTGCGCTCTGGTTCTTTGAGCAGGCCTTTTTGTGTGTTTCCTGCAGTTTTCCATTTGTGGGTTTTACCTCGACTCTGCCTCCTGCTTCCCTTCCTCCACTGCCCCTGGACGAGTTATTTTTGTTCTGGGGGCTTCTGTTGGTGCTCGATTGCCCCCAGTGTCCCTTCGTGAGGTTCTGCTCGTCTTGAGTAGTACATTTTACTACCCTGTATTGTTTGCAATGACACACGCACACGCCTTTCTCTTCCTCTGGAAGTTTTTTGTTTTTTTTGTTTTTTTTCCCCTTGGTACATGTTGTATGCTTTCCAGTCCCTTCTTAATGATGCCACTTCTGCTATGTGTACTTTTCTTGG